TAATTACATTGAGAGACCACTTGCAACAGGGAATTCAAATTAGAGGTATTACATTGACTTATAAGAATAAGCAAGCTTGGGCAGGACACTGCTAAAAGTGATGGTGGCTGATGGACAAGATCAGACAAAATTTCAATCAAAGGAGAAAACACGCCTGAAAGGATGACCACCGTGAAGACGGAGAGATGCCATAATTCCCATATAAGGAAGTCACCTTAGCTATGCACTTTGAAATCGAGATTGAAAACTCATTTCTTTAGAACTGCTTTTTGTGTCTAGTTTGTTGTCCCCCCCCCGCACCTCCGATTAGCAGTTGGCTACGTAAGTTCAACATCTACCTTAGAGGGATGGTGACGTTAGTAGATAGAAATAAGTCAATGATGATGCTGATGTCAAATACTGTAATTTGCATGTAATGTGTTCTTTGTGTCTCCTCTTCCCCCCTTATGAAGACTTCGATGTCCCTCACGTGGAATTCACACAACGGCTGCAAAGCTGCTTCGATATGCATCTGGTGTTGGTCACCGAATATAATGCGTCACCTGTGGGTAGGCCGCAAAATTTAACTTGACAGCGATGCAAAGCAGATGCCACAAGGCACTTCAAAACAAACTGTAAATACCAAATGGGTATATTTGGAATGTAAAATTTTACTTATAAGACAATAAAAACACATTTTTGTAAAACAATACGACATCTCATACGTAGGTGAGCACCAATAGCATTGCAAGGCCAAAATGGGGAAATAGCATTACATATGATTTGACAAGTAAGGTATGTTATTATAAGATGGGAGTAGGCAAACGTGAAATGGCGAAACAGCCTAAAAAACGTATTTGATTCACCCAATATTAACTTGATGCACCTGGCCATTAAACTGTGCCTTGGACAGACAGGTGGGATGCATTTACGATGGGTGAGTCCAAAAGGCCAGGGGGGATGTTTTGACATCTGCCAAAAAATGCAGTTGCAGTATTTAACCCTTGGCTGCACACGTCATGCATGATGTACAGAGACGTGTTTGAATTCAACTATATTTTTCCTTGAATTGTAAGGCGCTACAGAAATGAATATGCACTCCCGCTAACTTGTGCCTGGTGTCAACGTAGTCTTACAATTCTGGTCATACACGACTTGTGAGATGCACCCCCCATCCCCAATTGTGTTATGATCTGTTGAATTTGGTTATAACCCTTTGCTAAATGGTTACCTTGCTGTGCAAAAGACGGTTGTTAGGGATTTTATGGCAGGATAAGGTAAGCGGCGTTGGAAGTTAATTTCTGGAATATATGGCATTAAAGTGGCAGTAGATGTAATCAGGAAAAGTATGTTATGATGAGTGAGGCACAAAGTGGAAGGCAAGGTTATTTAATACAGAAGTATAAGTGGGTATGCGGAGGTCGGTAACCTGAGGAATCTAAGGATTGTGGAATACAGTAAGAGCAGACCTTGGGGGTCGGATAGCGACTTTGCAACCGCAGTGGAATCTAGCAGAAGAAGAAGGAAATTTCGAGGTGTGGTAACATCAATAACCGTGGACATGACCTCTAGATTCCACGTTATATACCTGACTAACTATTGTACGATTGAAGACGTTCAAATACCTGGTAAAGAGCATTACATTATCGTTTGTAGGCTATCATTTTTTTTTAACATTGTGCCTGCATGCGAATGTCTTACAATTGGTGATGACAACAGTGATTTCCCCTATCAAGAGGCAAACTCTCACAACATACCAGTGGCATTGCAAGCGTTACAGTCACACTCCATTTATCCGGGGTAAATGGAAGGGTGGGTACCCCGGTTCCTGATATCTGGGGTCCCAAACGGGGATTCACTCGTTTATCCGTGGGGGAATGACCACGAATAACCCCAGATAATTATAGTTTGTCGGACTCTCCAGCGACTGAAATATTCCTCCAAAACAGGTGACATCGGCTGTTAGAGTATTTGTCTAAGTTCTCGAGGTTTGGGCCTTATGCAGCAAGGTGGGCTACGTCATCTGCATATATGAACTTACAAGATGATGTACATGGCAAGTCATTTATACACGTGTTAAATAGTGAAGGTGCTTGCACGGAGCCTTGGAAGGAGGCCATTGCTCATAATGATCTCGTGGCTGTGTTTGCCAGTGAGGTGTACCCTGACAGTACGGTTGCCGAGCGCTGCTGTCGAATAGGTCTTGCGCAAAGAACAGCATCTGACGATGTTGGCCAAGGGCCGTCCATAAATGATGTCACGCGATTTTGGACGATTTTTGACCCCCCCCCCTCGTCACACGGCGTCACAAAAAGTCAGACCCCCCCTCAAATATGACGTCACAAAGCTCTGCCCCCCCCCTCCAAAACCACATTTCCATTGAAAATAAAACATGCTTCAAATCGCTTTAAACTATTGTCATTGTAGTGCGTATTTAATGTGGCGCTGCACTCTGATGTTATAGGAGTGTTTTTATAACAATTAGTGTTGTTATAACAATTCTATATTTATTTAAAGTTGCGCATTTTGATGTGACGTCACATTTCTCAATCCCCCTCGTCACACATTGTCACAAATGTCTGACCCCCCCCCAGGTTCGTGAATTCATTTATGGACGGCCCCATGATGCCGCACAGTGTCGTGGGCAGCAGAGAGGTGTAAACCCATGCCCACCGTATCTCGCTTTCGGGGCTGTGATCCTCGCCACAGAACAACACAGGGGTGGTTATCATTCAATCAAATTGTCAAAGTTGGGCATTGCGCATGCGTTGTCTTCTCGCTCCTGTCACTGGAGGGCCTCAGGACACCCCAGGTTTTACTCAGCGCGCCCCACTATCTCTCGCTCGTCACGTCAACTGCACACAATATTCCATAAACCCTCTCCCTCCCCTTGCATGGGGGGACTGGTGGGGATTCGACTTATAGAAATCATCCAGCGGCATTGCAGAGTAAGTCAACTCTGCAATGCTGCTCCAAAAGATGTCCGAAATGAATGTTGTGTTTCCCGTCGGTCAGACTGAGCGAGGGATTGGCACTACGTTTGACCTTCACAGGGTCCCGAGCCGTGTCCACGAGTCTCGACTGGAATCTCATTGGACTGCGGATCTGTATACCTGTCAACCCATGCTGTTTACCCCGTATTCTTGTACAGGGAAATTTAGTTTTCAGGTCCACACGGCGTACAGACGTTTCAATACGGGCAAAATGTGTTTTGTCTGTTTCTTTGTGTTTCTCCCTTGTGATGGGACGTTTTAGGATGAACGTTGATAATTATAAGGGAACGGGGTGATCAATAAGGTCTGAATTGGTCTGTAATAAGGTAGGGCACTGATTAGGGGTTGACAAGTATGCATCTGGTGGTCGTCCCCACTTTCTAAGGAATGTCTCCATCAACTCCCACTCAGACATGGCCGTCGGTCATCGACGCAAACCGCAAAAAAAAAACCCCGACGAATGCCGACGACGCGACGACTGAAAAACAACAACAAAAAAGGTTGAATAGATAGAGGAGGAAAAAAGAAAGAAAGAAAATCCTTTAAATCGGAAAGGGAATACATCAAGTGAGGGATCAGTAGGGGAAACATGGCCGTGCTTGTGTGTATTGGTTCTAAGAGCAGGGTGGAATCAAATTCTGGCAAGCAAAAGCTACCTTTCACGATCCGTCCATCAGGTACTTGTATTCAAGCAATGTGCAAAACACTCCGGCGACACAGCAGCATGCAGGACTGGTGCCTGGGAGCGAATGCAGCACTGTGTGCAATGCGATGCGAGTGCTGCTGCAATTGGGCAATTGCTTCCGAGAGTTGGTTATGTGAAGGGAGCTTGCTCGCCATCATCACGTTAGGAGAGCCCCCGACGGGCGAACACCTTCAATAATGAAGTGCAAAAAACGCCAAATTGGCATTTGCGCCCATACTTTATTTGGCGGCAGGGGGCGATCCACGGGTCTTTTCACTCACTTTACCGTTGACAACCCCGGATACTTGAAATTATTTGCCGAATACTGTAATTACATTTATCTGTGGTCCTGATCTCGGATAATTAGAAATATTTGCCGAATAACTCCGTTTAACTGTGGTCTTGGCCGCCGGATATATGGATGGCCATGCACCCCCCCCCCCCCGGATATTTGGAAGAGAATTCCGGATTTTGCCAACCCCGGAAAAAACGAATTCACGAATAATCTGGTCACTGAAAAACGGAGTGTGGCTGTCTAGAAAGTTGTCTGTCAACTAGAGTGTAAACGTTGATGTTTAAAGCATCGGAAAATGTCCACCCTTCGAACAGAATGGCCTCTTGGTAGTTTAAACATTAGCTCCAAGTGGTGTCGGGTATTGAGTAATAATAATATAGTCTTGCAATGCGTATAGTATTTGCTCGCTCTCGAAGACAGAGAACGACTCAATGGCACGAGTGGGAAAGGGCAGCCAGGTAGTGAGGCAGGGCCAAACTACCCCTCAAGTGGTTGGTCCACAATATATTAAGGTGTAATCCAATTAATACGTGCTTACATGTGGGAAGAAAGCAGAGCCCTGGGAGAAGCCACACATGCAAGGGGGAAACACTCTTCTTCCATACGGATGGAACAGGTGAAGTCCGCCTTTGCTGTCCCTCCTTCTCCTGGCAAGCCAGGGTATGGCACTTTGATGCCAACATTTGTTTCATAACAATTGTGTGAGCCATTTACCCTCGTCTCCACAGTGCTGGATTACAGGCGTACACCACCACCACCTGCAAAAATGTTACCTTTTATGGATGGGAAGTGTAATCCTGAAAGGAATGTAATTATTCCTGTAAAGATTGTACTTGTCTGCGGCAGTACAAGTCATTTACCAGTGTTTAATGTGACTTTTTATTTCAAATATAATTGCATGCATATACAAAGTGATACACTAAATATACAAACATTTACGGACTGCATTGCCAGAAGGGCCATAACCTGAAAACGTTTGCTTATAACAGTATTGTCTTGTAGTATCCTGTCATAAGACAGCAGTCAATTTGTGGCACGATGCTTCGATTGAAATCTAGATCACAAATGCCTTCGCAAGGCATATTATTTAAGTATACAAGTTTATACATGTGTGTATTTTTTTGGTAACAGTTTAACGTTACTTCAACAGCCAACAGAGGTACCACCATTCCCCTCAATGTAAAACAAATATTTAATCTTGCATTGAATCATGAATCTAAACGTTAATTCATTAATTATTTTTTTCCCCAACTCTCGTGTTAACGATGAAGGTGGTGGATTTAGAATTGTCATTCCACATTTACATTTTTATAATTTACATGTGTTACGCTACCAAGCAAAAGCCTCGCAAAAATAACGACCTTTGTTAAAGCATTTAGAAAATAAAATAAAACGTGGCACAAGAAGCAGACAAATTGGATGCTGCGGGAGACAACTGTGAATCAATAGGTGCAGACAAGAGATGATGGAACACGCTTGAGGGGACGACCAAAGGGATGAGATGGAACGATGAAATCAGTGAACAGGTCCTGGCAAAAATGCACATTACAAGCTGCAGAGACCCCAGGGGCAATTTCAGCGACGTCGGAACACCTCGGCCACCAGTGGAAGGCGGCTAGTGGTGACACGCATTGTGCATATTGCAGCCACTGCAGTGCATATGAAAAGCAGGTGGGGGAAATGGGATTTCCTGAAGGTCAATGAGCGTGATGATGTAGAGATGAAATTAGGATGTGTGTGGGCGTCAAGGGCAGTGGAGGTACAAAGGTGATGCATGGCATTAATGTGGTAAAAGCTTTCATCCCAGTAGTGCATCGAGCACAGACAGCAAGAATGCCCATCTGTTCCACTCGCTTTTAATATGTTTTAAACTCCTTCTTCGTATAATCTCAATGTGGCTGTTCTGAGTTTGTACATAATTTTGTATTAATTCTAAATGTGTTCTATTTCGGTCGCAGTTTGTGAGAGCTTGGATGACTGCGTCAACTTTTGCTGAAAACATTAAATTTTTCACAGTCTACAAAGACTTGAGACTGTTAATTGGAATTTGTCTCTTTTTAAAGCCCTGCACGTTTGCTGTCGCGGTCACTTGGCCTGTTTTCGTCATTTTGTTCACAATAATCACTGGAACCATACATGCATATGTAACATATTGTCAAGTGCAATGGCATGATGAGTATAATATATCAGTCTATGGGCTGCCTAAACATTAAACGAGTTTAACCCCAAAAAACAAATACTTATAAGAGACATTTAATGTCAAGCAGGAGCTTGAAGCTTTGCTCATGAAAAAAAGTAAACACTTTAAACTAACCGTCTCGTGCGTCCTGATTGCTACCAGTGACATCGTGAATGTTCAATGTGGCGACGTCACTCAGAGAGCTATGATGGAACGTCTTGGGATAAATTTAAAAGCTTCCAACTATGTTTTGTTCTAAAATGCATGTCAAGTTCCAACCCCAATGTTATCCCGATTGCACGATGGGCATCATGTCATTAGACAAAGAATCCATCCGGTAATCGCACGCAGAGCAGTGCAACCCCTTGTGTTACAGATTCCAAAGAACACAGGATGAGATGTTACTATCCTTTGTGCAAGCACTTCCAGGCCGCGGAAGAAGATATCACAGAGGCCTTCAAGTGCCACGTGGTTCACACAGTAGGGGGCAGCACCTTGATCTTGCATACCGAAAGTGATTTTAGTCACATGACAGTGAAATGGATATCTTAATTCTCAGACCTGGAATGTTTGTGCAATTAAGTGCAGCAACAAATATTCTGATATTGCGACCGTTTTTTTTTATTTCCCAGTAAAATATCTTAATCGGAATGTGTTTATACTGGAGGAATCCGATGAACTATAAAGCTCTGTTTCCCAGATGTCCAGTAGGGGCGGGTCAGAACGTTACAACAACAAATACAAAAACACGATGGGAGTACAAAGTACAGTATAGGAAATGTAAACAAATCACTTCCAACATTTTACAAGTAAAACTAAGCTATGTTTATCTTTTGATTTAAAGCTTTCGTGACTGCAGGGATTCATATTCTTGGTTCTTTATGTAAAAAATGTATTGCTGTGGTTTTCGCACCTGATGATGATTGCTTGTGTTGCAATCGAAACGTGAGAATTGTATTGTATATATATTTAATTATTGTACTGTTTCTCTTCTACGTGACTTTACCGAAAGAACCAAGAATATATGTTTATCTTACCAGGTAAAGCACATTGAGCTATTAATTTATTTTTCAGAAGCGACCTGGCCAAAAATGATAGCTCAACAAAGTGGCTTATCATGTGGACATTTATAGCAGCAAAACTATCTAAATGTATATGCCAACGTTGGCATGTGGTTGGATCAACGTCGGCACAACGTTCCAGGTTCACCGGTGACCAGCTGAAGTTTCTTACTCTTGGCAGTCAGGGGTCACCGCATTGCAGCTACTCTCCAACACACCGGTGTGCTGAACTAGTAACTAATTGAAGTTTTCGTGACTGCAGGGATCCGTACTCTTTGGTTCCTTCGATAAAGTCATGTAGGTATAAAAGAAATAAAAAAAATTTAAATAAAATAAATTAAATGTTATACCTACGTGACTTTACCGAAAGAACCAAAGATTATAGTAACTAATTGGCACGTTTTGCTTACGTGACAAACCTTACAGATTGGCTGTGCCGGGTGGTGGTGGGTTGACGACACATGTATATTTACGCGATCTAACTCACACACACACACTGAGCTATTAACTCGTTTTTCAGAAGCGACCTGGCCACAAATGATAGCTCAGGAGAGGGGGCACAAAAATCCTGCCTGGGTGTCAACAAGTAAAGTGCATGACGTCATCAAGCATGCTTGACATCCACACGAACATGACGCCATCGCCACGATACTCGCTGCGTGACGCAATCGTGAAGGCGCGCCTGACGTCATTGTCGCTGGTGACGAACGGGGGGGGGCGTAGCCGTGCGATGACGTCACACTTTAAATGGCAAAATTTTCCTTTGGAAAAAAAACCCACCCAACGCAACTTTTTATGGGTGGGGATTTAAAAAGAAAATTACTCACAACTATACTTTGTTATTATGTTCGTTGATGTCACTAATTGCCCTTGTGAGTTGTGTTTTACAACTTGCACATTTCCCACCTTTTCAAACCTGTAAACTGTTAAGGGGTGGGCGGGCAGGCTTTGTTACTGTTTTATCGATCAATAATAAGCGATAAAAGCGGGTGTCGGGACACCCCAACCCACCCACATTTACACAGTAAAACACTGCTAATTAAACTTGTCTCGCTAAGCTCTTACACCATTCGAGCAGTGCGTGGTATAAGACGGGCGGCACGTGGAACACTTTAAACGCGTTAACACACTTTGTCACACTTTGTATCCTCTTAGAAACGTCTTGCTATAGCACGAGGATATATGTTTTATGTAGGGTCCTGCTTTGGGAAGTTGGCCCAATTTATTGGGCTCTTTGGGATAGGAAACCGGAATTACCGAAAATAAGCAACTTTTCGCAGGGCTTATAATACATAACACATACTTCCTGTACTCACCACGTACTTACAGCTTTCAAATCAACAAGTACTGTACACAGGACACGTGTGGTGGTGCCAACGCGTGTAGTAAGATACATACTCTTAGGTTATTTTTTTCTGTAAGTAAATAATAAAAGAATAGGAAAAAGTAAGATTTATATTATTTTATTATTATTAACATAATATAAAAAAATGTATGATTTGTTATTAAAATAAGAGAAATAATACTAATTCTTATTTCTTAGGTTTTTTCGGTAAAGTCACGTAGGTAAAAATAAATAATAAAAATAATAGAAATAATAAATCATGTATTATTTAATTTCTATTATTATTCAACATAAAAATAAAAAATCATTTATTATTTTGTTTCTATTATTTCTATTAATAATATATTTTTAATAATAAAAGCATATATTATTTTATTTTTATTATTATTTGTATTACTTATTTTTACCTACGTGACTTTACCGAAAAAACCTAAGAGTATGAATCCTTGCAGTCACGAAAGCTTCAAATCTAGTAGTAAGATAAATGTTTGGTGAGACTGTCACGAATTAATGGGTTCAGAGTCGAGAGGCGTTTGCTTGACACACGGTATAATTTACCATTGGCAAGTTAAACCATTGTGCTAGTGTGTACTAGATCCACAGCGTTTGACGAATTCGTCTAGTACATAAGTACAACCATGTTTAATGTTCTAATATACCGTCCTGTACGATACTAAATTAGAACGTGATACAACTTAATTCCTCCCACGTGCTGATTCAGTTTCAACGTTCTCGGTTTAGGTTCAATCAGCCACCACTCCCCTCCCCTTGAAACATTGCGAAAACTATCTTATATTCTAGATTTGAACTATCTTATATTCTAGATTTGAACTATCTTATACACAGCCGCACGTGTAAGAACCCAGACACGTGAAGTGAGCGTAACGAGCTGGTCTTGTTGTGCGGCCACATCGCCACGTGTTGCACGCTTCACTGAAGTGGCAGCCGGTCGATTTAAAGAATTAAAGGCAACCGAACAAGTTGCCTTGCATCGGACAAATTGCGACATGAACCATTAACCATTAAAGGAGCGCAGCGTGCGTTATTTGAAACGGGGTGCACGTTTACACAATCAACTGTTCATTTACAATCGGCACAATTATATTATCGGTTCTTTCGGTAAAGTCACATAGAAGGGAAATAATAAAATAATACAAATATAAAACAATAAAAAATAAATGAGAATTTTATTGTTTTATCGAAAGAACCAAGAACATGAATCCCTGCAGTCACGAAAGCTTTTAAATCAAAATTTCATCGTCACAATTGTTTATTTTATTTAAAAAACGCGTTTTTAAATTAGCTCCGAACCCCTCCCCCCCCCCAATTTTTTTGTATCGTCCACCTTCGAGCCGCCGTAACGAGCGGAAATTGGCGTCGCCATGGAAACGTATCCGACCGTTGACTCGCCAGCCAATCAAAATCAAACCTGGCCGGCCGCGGCGACCAATCAGGGCGCGGCGTCGCATATTTGAATCTGAGCCCGAGCGGTAACGAGAAACGAGGAGATCAGTCGCGGCTTGTCCTTGCTTGATGGTGGTCGCAGTAGCAGCACGTCCTCGGCTTATGTTGCGTTGACGAAGTCGACTGTTTGAAAGATCATATTAGTACTCTACTCGTGTTTTACACCGCAGCAGCAGTAGCAGCTTCGCGTTATATTTCTTTTGAGGGACACAAGCGAGCCTCCAAACATGGCTCTTCGTCGTGCTGCCGTGAGTACTTCGGTTCGATCGGAGCCGCTGTGATGTTTTGTGGTGGTGGGGTAATAGCGACGATGTTTAATAATGCTAGTACAGTACTTGGTGGTGTGGGCATTAGTTGTGCTCTGAAAAGGGCCCATTTAACGACGCCACCAATGTATTGTGTCTAAGGTTGTTAACGGATGAGGTTTTTGTTCTACTATTCGGTTAGTGGCTATACTGTATTGATAGTAGTGGAGCGATGCGTGGTCCTGGACTGCTTTTATAAGTGACCTGATGTGGGTTTTTATTTAATTGGCTCCGATTTTTTTTAATAAAAGCGTTGTCTTCGTGTCTGCCCTTTATGTAATGGATTGTTTATGTAGGGTGGGATATGGAACCTTTAGATTATCCAAATTTAACCCATCGACATGGCGAATTTAACCTAGCTTAAATCCTATGGTGTTTGGAGCTAGTTGAAATGTGGTTTTTAAATGTATAACAATATAATGTCTCGGACGTTGCTTTTCATAACTGGCGAAAGCATGGCGTGTCCATAAAGCTTGCGTTTGTCTTTAGTTTCTACGTGAAAATAGGTTTCCTATTGGACGTGCAGCCTTAATGATGGCTTTAAAATTCAAATGATGCCACTTGGGTTTTAAACAATGGCCACGAGGCCCTCTCTCTCACTGGGGTGTGGCGGTGTACTCTGCACGAGGTTTGCTGTACCTATAGTTCTAGATAATTGTGGACTTTTATGATGCTAAACCTGGAGGTGCATATTTTACGTCTTTTATGCGTTTTGTAGTACACGTAGCGATGTGCACGTGAACAGAAGCGTTTGTGCGATGTCGTTCTAATGAACGCACGTATCCCGGTAGCCGAGCTGATGTGAGCTTTATGCGTAACAATCGTTTTAGGCTGCGGTACTACCTTGTGGCTAGTGCTGCAATATCTAAACAATTTAACATTCATTGGCGACCCCGAATCGGCAATAGAGCTCACACGTTCCCGCAAACGCATGCAGTGTAGTCCAGTGTGTTTTCAGTTTCTATGGGTTTGTATTGAAAGCCGCGTCCCCCCCCTTTTCTCCTAAATTGCAGGCTGTTGAAACCTCTGAGAATGCGTTGGCCGGCAGGCTGACGAGGAAGGGCAGCCTACAGCTGAAGCCGACCGCGCGGGCGACACTCGGTGATATCAGCAGCAATACCAACAAGGCGATCGACAAAAAGACGATGCAGGTCTACAACGCCCACATCCGCACGTGCACTCACCCTTCAGCCCATCCATGTGTTCGCGTGGGTGAAATTGAACTGACATTAAAAGTGAGAGTGGTGTATGAAATGCTATTGGCGTGCTCTTAAAAACAGACTGGTGTAATTTTGCTTTTTATTTGAAGCATCTGGATCTTTTAAAGAACGCTTCAATGAATACCCCCTCGGTGGATATTGGATTTAGATGTATTTGAATGCAGTCGTATACACGTACAAGTTATTTGAAACATTTCGGGTGCTTATTGTGGTATTAATTTTGCACAGATTAAGGAGCCAGTAGCCAAGCGGGTGCCAAGAGTGGTCCGATCAAAGTCGACCGTGGTGAGGGTGCCGCTCGTTCCTGCTGCTGCGCCTATCGTGCCTGCTGCTCCTGTTGTGCCCGTGGTTACACTTGCCCCGTGGCAGCTTGCAAGCCTGCAAGAATCCTGCTCGAAAAGGTAGGGTGCCCACTTGATAATGCACAAGTTTAATGATGCTCTGTTTTTTAAACAAATCTACCGAAATGATCTTTGGGCTGTTTTGGTATCCTTAATGTTTACCATGTTTGCTTAGTACTGGTGTGGGATGACCAAATCATTTGGCCTATTTCAATAGCACCGACTCACACTTTGAAATGGGAATAATGTGTGCAAGTGGAAACGTAATGACGATGACCAGTTGCTTTTTCTAATTAAAAATTGAAACGTTAATTTGCACCGTTTGTCCATATTTATGCTTGTGTTGAGATGCACGATGCATTTTATGACTGACATTGCATGTTGCCAAATAGTTCAACCCATAGGAAGTGTGTAATAGTCTACACCACGTTTACTTTAACTGCTCTACTGCTATTTTTTTTATTTAGCCTTAACTTTGGCCATCCTTTGAAATGAAATCCCTTTATTTGAAATGGTACTTTGCAGATGCCCTCGCCCATTGCTATGGACATCTCTCAGAAGGAGGAAGACCTCTGCCAAGCCTTCTCTGATGCACTGATAAATATCCAGGACATTGATGCGGAAGATGCGACGAACCCCCAGCTGTGCAGTGAATATGTGAAGGACATCTATGTTTACATGAAGACCCTGGAGGTGATGATTTGAGCTGAAGCAGTATATTGCAAACTGAAATTAAAAAAAATGACTTTCAGGACAAGCAGGTGTAATTTTATACTAATGCATCACATTTGTTTCCTTTTTTAGAAAGAACAATTTGTTCAAGCAAACTACCTGGAGGGAAAGAAGATAAATGGCCGCATGCGTTCCATCCTCGTTGACTGGCTTGTACAGGTCCAAATGAAGTTTCGGCTGCTGCAGGAGACTCTGTACCTCACCGTTTCCATCATTGACCGCTACCTGCAGGTTGTGCCTGTTTTTTCAGCCTTGTAAAGTACCGTAATTGCAAACTGCACATTATATTGTTTTGTGTCTACATCCTGAAGTTGACTATTTTGTTGTACAGCATGGGCTTCAAATGTGGTTATTAAATTTGTAAGTTGTGCTTTTTAATGCTGGAAGGTGGTATGCATACTGAAACGTTAGTACAGTACAGATCTGATAGGAGTGGTGCAGTTGGTTCTAATTTTAATGCTACAAGAAGTTGAGACAAATGGTGAGATTCTTAATTGTCCCAAGTCTCTTAAATTGCAACTTGTAGGTAGTTCAAGTGAATGCCATAATGCTAGATTTTTATCCCTAGTCATCAAATGAAGTTGACAACTGGCCCATGACTTAACTTTTGAATTGCATAGTTCCTTGGTCTAATTTGGCTGTTAAATCCATGTCTTGCAGAACCACGAGGTGCTGAGTGGAAGCCTGCAGCTGGTGGGTGTGACTGCAATGTTCATTGCAGCCAAGTACGAGGAGATGTACTCCCCAGAGGTGGAGGACTTTGTTTACATCACGGACCATGCATACACAAAGGCTCAAATCCGTGCCATGGAGCAGGCTATACTTTTGGGGCTGAAGTTCAACCTTGGACGCCCCCTCCCACTACACTTCCTTCGTCGGGCATCTAAGGCTGGCAGCGTGAGTTTTTGCACTTTACCCCTTTTTTCATATCCTTTTAACAGGCTGTAATATTTTGCATAATGTTTGGAATTCATTTTGCCTTTAGGTTGATGCAGATAAACACACCTTGGCCAAGTACTTGATGGAGCTCAGCCTGGTTGACTACCACATGGTGCACTTCCATCCATCTCAGATTGCTGCTGCCGCCCTCTACCTCTCCCAGAAGCTCATGGACGATTCCAAATGGGTATGACTTTGTGACGTTGTCATTGCGAAATGTTACGACCCTTGTTCAACAATGATTGACTATTTTGTACTTGTGCCTTTTCAGAATCTGGATTTGCAATACTACACGACCTACACTGAAGAAGAGCTAATGCCTATTGTCCAGCATCTTGCTAAGAATGTAGTGAAGGTCAATGAGGGAGTGACGAAGCAAATGGTACGTGATTGTTAATTGGCACAGCGTGTGCTTGTGTTAATTAAACCTGTTACTTGGCAATGGGTTTATTCATAGTTGCAGCTTTTTGAAAAAAATTAGATGGGTAATTTAATAAACCCCAATTACAGCAATGGTGGGGGGGTCCTTACTGACTGACGCGAATTCTAAATTGTCTTAATGAAAAATGGACAACCCTTTCCCAAATGTAGCTGCGCAAGTGTTTTGGCATTATTAATTTCAATTCTAGCAGTAAAAGGTCCATTGCATAACTAATGCCTTATCAGCAGCCAATCCTAATGTTTGGGTTGGGCAATGGTACCTTAACAGATTAACGGTAAAGTGTTTTTAATGCCTTTGTCTCTTGGTAAAACCCTGACATTATTTTTTACCAGGCCACAAGAAACAAGTACGCCAGCACCAAGATGATGAGCATCAGCAAAATTTCTCAGCTCAAGTGCCAGCTGGTGAAGGACCTGGCAAAGCCACATCTTGAGAAGAAGTAAAACAGCTTTATTCCAACGCCAATGTACAGCAAAGACTTGGAGTGGACTGCAAGGTTTCCGCCATTGTGCTGGAAGTTAATAAGCCAGTTGACTTGATGCCCTTGATTTAATTTTGAAAAGTTTTTGTAATGAGACTTTGCAGGATGGCTGCCGAGCCACTAGGTGTACTGTTGAGCACCATGTGCTGGTGTGTGTGTATATAGCCTGCCATCTTTAGAATGCATTTTTATTTCACTTTTATATCATCTATTTTACATTCTGTACTTTTACTGATTTTTATTGATTTCACTTGAATAAAATGACGTTTCTTCTTTACGCAATTCTCTGCATTTCAGAAACTGAATTTTAATGGCCAAGTGTGTTCTTAATAGCTTAACTGCCTGTTATCTGACTGGCCACATCAGGCGTTTGGTTCGACTAATTCGTGCCAAGTTGCAGTTGAATGAGCACATTTGACCTTGGAGCCTAATGAGCAGCCTAACACTTCAACCTTGGAAACTTTTGCCCAACACAATAGCTTTAATGCTTTGACCGTTCAGTATTGAACTTTTAATATAAGTCCGGTGCCAGTAACGTTAGCCTGGTCCTAGAAAATGTGGTAATGGTGTGAAAATGTTTAGGATTTGTAAGGGTATGTATGCAAACTGGTTTTAATGCTCGATTACTGCTTGGTTAGCATGCGATTTGTGACATCTTTTCTTTTTGGTGATGTGTACATTAAGATAATTTAAAATGGACTGGCCTTCTTAATAAACTTACGACATGCTGTAAACCGAAGTCCCACATTATTATTCGTTTCCGATGAGCCATCTTTGCCAACACTTTTGCTGTACATTTGCTATTGGTGGTTAATGATGTCTACAGGCATGCAGGAAAATGGAATTTTTAGCTAACTGAATTGATGCCTTAACCCACGTTGGCTTGCAGCGTTAAGTCGTGTGAGGGCATGCAAGTGGTGGGTTGACTTTTTTTTAATCTGACGGCCTCCCTAATTCAGCAGATAAACAGTTTGTCCAAAGGACCTTTTCATTTTAACTTGAACTGAATATACTTTCATAAAAAATAGCACGGATGTATCCTGAATTCATGCCTAATTTAGGTGGATTGGATTTCTCTCCCGTGTCAAGATGGTGCAGGTTTTCTATTAGCGTCGCCCTAACCTTGTTCTTAATGGTTCCAATTTACAATAAAACAATTTAAATTGGCTAACTTCGACTTGCTTGAATGAGAACCATGGTGCCTTAATTCTGTCTGAACTTTTTTGACTGTTGCCGTTCAACTTTTACCAAATACTTGCACCATTTTTAGGCTACCGGTTGGCTGACATTTAGAATTAATCTCTGTAATGGTGGTATATACCTACATTATACTGGTAGGAACGAAGTGGACCAGCCGACAACAGATTATATCGTCCGTCTGTAGCAACATCGCCCCCTACTGCAAACACCTTGACTCTGACGCTTTCCTGGCTAAACAAGTGTAACATTCCCTTATTCCCTGATTTTCATTTAAAAGTTAATTGAAAGCTAACTCGCAGCGCCCTAAAGCCTCGAACAACGCCTCACTCTCCCTTTGTATCGTACCCCCGCGTGTGTGAAAGGGAGTTAATGTTTAACAATGTTACATTCCCTGATGTTTTTAAATAGAAACATTTACATTTAAAGCTTTTACATAAATAATTAAAACATTTAAATAAAAAATTAACTCACAGCGGCCTAATGCCTACAGCTAGGCCTAAAGCCTAGAAATAGGCCTCACTCTCCCTTCGTATCGTCCGATTCGGTGTAGCAACATCGCTTGGCAGGACCCTACAATTAGACTCGGTGGGGCTTTCCTGGTTAAACAAGTGTAATAATACATGTTTATATTCTTTGGTTATTCGTTCCTACCAGCCCACCCCGCAGGGTCCTGTTTTAATACGGAAACGTATCTACCATTTAACTGTGGGCTTTTGCACATCAAATTAGTACAGGTAAGTTTAACGTTGCAAATATTTGCCTCTATTTGAAAGGCTGTTGGCCCAGCTATCGATTGACGTGGATAGCATTCTGCTGTACGGATTAAACAATTTTGGAACACCATGTCACTTGCTGACATGAGCGTTAAGATAATGCAATCCTACATTTTCGGTGCTATCCATGTATTGACCACTAACAGGAAAAATGTACAGAATTGACAGACTTTTCAAAACGGGCGTCTGGTATGGTGAATTATAGACTCGCGTAACCAAATGTGGTGTGGCAGTGCTGTCGTCTTTAAAATTGGTAGCGACTTGCCCATCGTGCATTCATTAAGTGATGGTCATTGCATTGTGTACACGGGCACGCTTCGACGGCATCAAACGAAATGCAATTTTTAGGTTTTTACTACATAGCACAGTTAATATTAACCGTGAGGTTTAGTTTCCCCAATTGTCAACGGAACATTTTTACGTAAGCGTAGTCCTTAAATGACAAATATACGTAAAAATTACGACTGCTGTATTCTGAGCATGGTTTATTGTAAATATATGCAACAGGTTATTGGATTTAATTTCGGTTCCCTTCAAATTAAGTGAGCTCGTTGAAATAGGTGGTACAGTATGTGCACGCAACATTCGCATGAGAAAACAATATGCATGCACACGACAATATGGGCACAAATGAGCAAAACAGATACCAAAAAAGTACACTTTGACCAGGTAAAGCCCACAGCAATATAGCATTTTTTGAGAAACGACCTGGCCACAAATCAATCGACGAAGTGGCTTGTGGCATAGCAGCCAAATAGTCTTAAACGCATGTTGATTCTAAATGTGAAAGGAAAAACCGGAGGACCCAGAGGAAAAATCCAAGCCATCACGGGGAGAGGGAAACTCAAACACATGCCATGCTACCAGGCGAGGCATTTAACGACTCTTCAGTGGCGCCCCAAACATGGATTTAAAAAAATATATAATCTTAAACTACATGTTAAAAATAATACGCCTATAGTAAAGTACAATTGGCATAAAATGTAATCCAAAAGTGAATATTAAGTTAATTTGTAAACCCATGGGAAATTACTTCACTCGCAAATGTGTGTTTGCGGGTTCTGTATGTTCCCCATAATGTTCGACGTTTCACTCCACGTGCTGGGAGCAACATTTGTTTACTTTCAACAATTCCCAACCAACGCTTCACTTGGCATACTGATTAACACAACAATAAAAACCCAACCCGTGTCTATTAATGACATACTGTTAGGGAATACATTCACAGTTCAGGAGACCTGCCTGGGATTAAGGATGTGGACCTGGTTGGTGGAGGGAAGGATTTGAAAGTAATGGCCGGTGGGTATATGTTTCGTGGGAAGTGGTAGTGTCATGGTAAGCGAACACCACTACACAAAATACCAAGTTCGATTCGTGCACACGGCCAACATCGATGACGAATATCTGAACCACTTCTGGGCCTCCCCTAGGTTGACTCATCCTTAAATAAGAACACCGTGCGGTGTGTAATCAGCCAGAGACAGAGGTGGTGTGGTGCTGGCTACCCATCCCTTCGTGTCGTGATTACCTAAAAGTTGCTCGCAAATAGCACTTGCCCCAACAATGTTATGGCTATAAGGGGAATCTTTGTATTTTGTGTTTCGTGTATACATACCTGTCAACCCCTTATCACTACCTACCTCATCAAAGACCAATTTAGACCTTATTGGTCACCCGTGCCTTATACATCTCAATGTTCATCCTACAGTCCTATCACAAGGGAGAAACACAAAACAATAGAACAATTTTACTCCATTTCCCTGTACAAGAATACGCGTTCAAGTTCAAGTTCAAGTTCATTTATTAGGTATAGCCCTGTGAGCCATTCAGCTCTTGAATCGGGTGCAACCGCAACAAACAAAAAACAAAAACATGAACAAAAAAACATCTTAAAGTGAATATGTGACTAAGTGCAAACAGAAAATCCAAGAAAAGACAGCAAAAATATTGCAGAAAAAACACCGTACACCAACGCTGTGTGCAAAAATCCCAGTGGGATGCAAGTCAAACAACAACAACAACCACAAGACAACTTAGATTAAGGCCATCAGTCTAACTCTGTACTACAACAACACAAACATGGCTAAACCAATACACTTTTCGAAATCACCAAAATAAAGCCATGAAGGCAATGAAAAAGCAATCATAGGAACTGACGGAATTTTCACAATAAATGGCATAAACAACATGTACTACCAAAACCCTGCAGCCATAGCTGGCTGCATGAGTCACTCCACAACAGCAGGAGCATCAATCGGAGTATTGTAATTTTTCAATGCACCTTTAAGATCAGCACACTAAATCAAAACACAGGTCATACTTTGTAGCGATCATCCGGAGCGAAACATTTTATTTTAGGTCACTGAATAGCACTGGCAGCTAGGGGTGTACAACTCCTCTAAAGCAGTTTTGAGTGAAGATCTCATAGGTAGTGACTCAAGTTTCAATTTATTTGCAACAGCATTCCAGACCCTGGGGGCATCAATAGCAAAGGCCCTTCCTCCAGTATATGTACGGCAATAGGGAATATTAAGCTGGTAAATGAGTGTAGACCTTAGGTCAAATTTGTTCTTTGAAACAGAGACGAGATCCAGCAGGTAATCTGCAGATTTTTTTGCAAGTACATCATGAATAAATAAGATCTGGTGCACAAGCCGTCGAACATTCAGAGATGTTAAGTTTGACCCAATGTAGAGATCACAGTGGTGAGTCCTATATGGGCAGTTCAATGCAAATCTTAAGGCCGAGTGATACATTGAGTCAAGCTTCTTCAGTACAGTACTTGGGGCTGATTTATACACAATGTCACAGTAATCAAGTAGAGGCAGTACGGTAGCTTTAATCAATTCCAAACGGAACATAGGAGGGAAGCAGTGCTTGTGTCGATATAGAAAACCAATTTTAATTTTTGTCTTTTTCCCAATATAATCAATGTGATCTTCAAAATTCAGTTTTGAATCCAGGATGACCCCAAGATACTTATAGATCT